AGCCAGTAAAGATAATAATGAATATTTAACTGTTCCTGAGTTTGACTCTTACATAATTTGTATGCATGAACAGAGAAATCTATGTCAAGAAAAATAAACAAGATGAAGGTCATTGTAGACCAAAATCTCATGTTTATTGGTGCCAAAAAAGTTTGCATTTATGAAAGATTCCACATATAGCATCCTAAGATAGCAGCCAAGTGCAGCAGCATTTCACCTTTTCATAGTGGAGAGAAAAAAAAAAAAGCTATTTATTTAACCAGCTGAATGAACTCCAGACATAATGAAGCTCATTGTAAAACTGAATCCTTCTATGTTCAAAACAAAACCCACCAAGATATTGTTTAATGAAGCAGTGCCCAGCAAATTCAGATTCAGATTTGCTGAATCTACAGCAAATAGAAGGTCATAAAGGTACGAAGAGGTTGTGTGTCCTTTGTAAGGAATTTAGTGAGCTCAGCTACAAGCAGTTGACAGAATGGAGCTTCTTAGGGAGTGCTTATTTTTTGAAGAGTAATGGAGAAGTCTCAAAAACCAAAACCAATATGATTTCCCTATTTGTTATTGTAATAAATAGGTGGTACACACATGCATTAAGAAACTATATTGAACATAAGAAATTACAAAATGCTGTCTATGTTTTTACATTGTATTAAAGAAACCATTACCAAGATGATGTGTGTGGCTTTGGTTTTGAGACTCGAAAGAAGTTGAGTACACATTCTAGACTATGTATGAAAACAGACAGGAACTATTCAAAGCTAAGAAAATTGCTGGTGACATGAAAGTAAAGGAGCTTGGAGTTTTTGCTTTTATTTATGAAGAAGATTGATAAGATATAGCTTTCAAAGCAGGAAATTTCTGCTAATATGAAGTTATTTAATTTAGCATAAAAAAGATGTAATGAGATGCAAAAGCTTGAAACTGAAGCTAGATGTATTGATTCCACATATAGCATGACATCCTTAATAGTGAGGATAACAAAACACTGGAGCAATACACTTCAGAAATCAAAATATAGAATGGCTCATGTAAAGAGAGAAAAAATCAGTTTGAACTCCAGTTTTGTACTCAGGACTTAGACATTTATTTAGGACTTAGGACTGTGGCATTTATTTGTACCAGATTATGCACTGTCCTTAGCAGAAAATTAATGTGTATGAGACATGGAGAAACTTCATGAGGGAACTGTAAAAATATGTATTCCAGGAACTGAAAGTAGCTATGTTCAGACCTGCAAATCTAGGTGCTAAAGGTGCTGTTTCCATAATTGTTATCTTTTGACAAGATCTGCCCCGCGACACAGACACAACTGACAAACCTTCTCATTGGTTTAGGTGGTCAGTGGTGTGGTTGAATTCTTTGATCATTCTAGTACTTGACTATTTGGATAAATCCATTGGTGCTTTTTAAACTGATAAATCACTCAATTCAGTGGAATAAGTCTTCTGCAAGAAAAAGCTGTCCTATATTCAAGTTACACCCCAAGTCAATTCTGCAGTTGGTTTATGTAATGGAGTAACACCAGCCCACAAGCATCTGCTCTTAGGGTGCTGCATAGTCCTACTCAAACATGTACCAGTCAGTGCAGATCAGATGACAAGGACTCAGAGCAGCAATGCTACTTCTGCAGCACCCCTCAATTCCCAAATGTTTTAAAGGAGAGGCTGTAAATGGAGATTTCCCATTTCTGTATGTATCATTTTAATAAAATAGTAGATGTGAGACCATAGTTTCTGCTCTAATGTTCATTTCTGTACATAGATTGTTCTTAGTCATGGAAAAAGTTAGTTGAGTACCCAAAAAAAATTATAGCTGCTTATTTACAGAGCTTGGTATCATTTTCTTCTATGGAAGTGTTTTGGTTTTGAAAAAGGTGCCGTATGTGATTTAGGAGTTTTTGCTTGAGATATCCACTTGGAAGGAGATTCTTTATGACACTGTATCTTCACTTCCCTGCCCCTGCAAAGAGGAATGAATCACACTGCAGTCCTTGTTATTGCTAAAAGATTTAATCTCACACTACTAAAGAGTCACTATCCTAATGAAGGAAAGCATGTCCTACCTCATCCCCTTCTGATCCTAAGAAGTTAAATAGCTGCTGCAAGTGACACTGGCCTCAACTTCATGAGTCAGTTCTGAAGTATCTGCGCTTTTGGTTCTTAGTGAACACCAAGGACTTGCAAGTCTTTGGATTCTATCAGTACTAACCTCTGAGAAGAGTGAGACACATCAGATCTGTGTGTGTCACATAGTAAAAATGAGTCATGGAATAAAAAAGCTGTGGGGTACTGTGGAAAGTGGTCATAGATCAAGCTATGAGAAGATTTGGTCATTGTTACCTCTCATCATGAATGTAATCATTCACTGACAAGTTTAGTTTCCAGGATGTGAGAGTGTAAATTCTTGGTTACTAATGTATTATGCTGTCATGAAAGTCTGCATCTTGGAAGATGAATCCAAGTATTTAAAATTAGTCATCTTAGCAACTGATTTTTTTCCCAAGTAATTATAAGCTTTGGAATATCAGGATGTTGAAATACTCAGTGAAAAAATGTTGCATACAAGTGAATGAAGAGCAAAAAATCCCATTTCACTCTCACAGGTCTTAAAGCCAAGATTAAGTGTCGTTTTCAGAAAGAACACTTTTCTTTTAGAATGTTATTAGTGTCATACTTTCTCACTGCTTGGTGCACGTAATTCTAATTTTACTTGCTTCGCTCTAGATCCCGAAAGACATCCAGACTTAGTTTTCATCTTTTTCCTTTATGTATAAATTAGGATAATCTGGCATGGCTTTAAAGGCCCCTGGCAGATCCAACATACTGATAAGAGAGAAGATAGTGACTAGCTTTTATTCTTGAAACCCATGGTGTCTGCTTTGCAGTATTTAGATGTATTGGTCCCCCCTTTTAATATCCTCAGAGATACTCCATTCTCCCTGATAGCAGTCATCATTTAAGAAAAAGGCAAAAGTAAAAAGAATAAAGTCAGTCCAAAGTCTGAACTATAGGTACTTCTGCTGTATGTCCTGTTGTAATACACTGCTATGAAAAGATTTGATGAGGTAAGGTTGTACTTCTCCATGCTTGGCAGCAAAGCACAGAATTTGCAGAAGATGGCCTCAAGTGCCAAGAACATATGCCAAGTCATCATATCTCTTCAGCTCCTTCTGCTGGAAGGACCTCACTGCAGCTCCCAGAATGTTTGAAAACCACCAGCAGTCAGTGCTAATGCTGCTATTTAAGCATCAGTTCTCACTTCAGGGCAACTGGCCAGAATGAAGCAGACAGCACAATTTCTCTCTTATTTTAGTAATTTGTGAGTACTTTAGTAATTTGTTTTTCAGGGTGAACACTGATGCATATAAATGTGAATTTTTGGAGAGTGCTTTGTTTGTTTGGGATATGCTGAGTGAAATCATCTACTTTGTTAGGATGTTTCCTAGAAAACTGACTTAGCATGATACTGAACTGATGCTGAAGGGTGACAGACACTTAATCAAGGCAATGCAGCTGTAATTTTTATTAAGGACAATCATTAAGTAGTGCCATGCATTTGTACTGAGTATTAAACTCAGTTTAAAAGGAAAGCACTTATCTCTTAAAAGTTCCAGTTAGCTTGAAATCCCAGGTGGGTTGATGACTTGCTTTTTTGGTTTTGGTACTTTCTGTCACATTACAAGAAGTGGTTGTTAAATGTTAGAAAAGAGTGCCACAGAACAATCATTCAGAATGGACCAGAGGATTACCATCAACACTTAGAAAGTGCCTTAGACTACACTACATCTTTATTGTCCATTTTGAATAGGTTGTTTTAAAGAGGCAAGTTTTTATTATTTTATCAGATATGATTGTATCCACAACTACAGATTGGGAGCATGCAGCAAATAGAGTTATTTCTTTTTCTCTGCCTTGGTGTTCTGTAATGTAGTTACAGTGTTTTATACACAACTTTTCATCTATAAACACCAGTTTTATAAAACTCTATCTCCATCTTACAAATAGAGAGATGAAGGCTCAGGTAAGAAAAAATACTTCTTTTCCCCCAAAGGTCATCCACTAGACCAATTGACAAAATCAAGAGTAGAGTTCAGGTCTCAAGGTAAGTGGTATCCATTAAGCTGCTTGTTTAACAGTTGGAAGAGCAATTGCTTCATACTTGGAGCTTCTAACCTCAAATTTACTAATTAATAGATTATACTTTCTGGAAACCAATATTAGAATGGTTTATTGTACGTCTTTCTCCTGTGAAAAGGGAAGTAAAGATTCTGACATTTACCTGCAGCTAAAATAAGTGGACAGCTGGCTTTTTTGGTCAAGGTTTTACAATATGTTAATACGTTTGTATATTACAATTGGATCAAGCTCTATATTGTAAAATATTGTTTCTAATCATAATTCTGCTACTTTTAATATGTGATGTTTCATATTTTTCACACAATATGGTTGCTAATGATATATTTAATATTTCTCCTTTTGCGTTATTTTTGATCTTCAGTAATTTTCTGGAACAACAGTTTCTTGCTGAAGTCTCTGACTCAGATGAGAAAGGCCATCATCCTCTAAGTTAGGGAGATGACAATTTAGCATGCACAGAAAAAGACCTGAAGAGAACAGATAAAAAACTAGATTCATTATATGTCTAGTCTTGATAAGTACAAAAATCGGGTACATTCATATGTTATATAAACCAATAATGTATAAAAATAAATTTAAGGTGCATCCTGCTGAATTTATATGTTAATTTATGTACCTTATTTCACAGGAAAAAAAAATAGGGTAGAACAGATCACTCACAACTGCACATGTTTCAGGCTGCTGGTGTTGGTACTTTAATTAGAATAGTGGAATGTCAGCATGAATTCTTTTGTTTTACAGAAAGCAAGAAGAATTGAGGTTAATTAAAGGTTAATTAGAGTTTAATTGGTAGTTTTTTCTTTCCTTCTTTACTTCTGGTGATAACAGGAATGTTAGAATCCTTGACTTTGATGACAACAGATTGGGCAGGCCTGGTGTTGATTGCTACTGCCAACATGAAAGTGGTGCTGCCGTTCTGCAGCTCCAGTTCTTAATCAATGAGGTAAGGACATATTTACTCAGATTCTTCTGTATAAATTTAGTTGAAGAAGTCAATTCATGTTATTGTAATTGAGTGATATAACTTCTCCCATTGACAAATTGTGCCAACAAATAAGTGGTGTACATCCAGAGGACTTTCAACATACAGCCTTTTAGAAGAATATTTATGGGACTGCACTCAAGGAAAAGTATTGCCTTCCTATACATCAGTTTAAAGTAGTGAACAAAAGGCAGTCGATACATGAGTGTGTGTAAAATGATGTAAAATCCATTGAGTTGCTAAATATGCTGCACTGTTCTGGTTCAAATAGAAATTAATAAATTAGTTAAATCTTTCTATCAAAATATATTGATGGTTATTGGCTGAAAACTCAATAGTTGGGGATATGCTGTTACGTAAAGCAATGAAAAGCAATTGCAGGGATCATCAATCAAACCATCATGCTTTGTAAGTGGTTTGTCAAAATCAAATTTAGACAACATGAAGAAACAATGCCAGATTATAGCTTGCTCTTTGCAGAAGGTTCTGAAGATGGGAATAGGCAAGAAGACTTTCTGGTGAGTACAAATCAGAGGGGTTTTTTTGAGGACCTTAGAAGTTGGCCAAATCTAAGTTCAGTTTTGATTAATTTTCTCCCATGACATAAGAAAACACTTTTGACAGTTGCAGGTTTTCTTTGTAAATGGGGAGATTTTAGAACTTCTCAGCAGAAGAGTTTTAGTTTTATGGTTTTTTTTAAACCTGAAAAATATTTAATTTTTTCCTACACCTATTTGGAGAAAGTAACTGAACCACAGACACTGGGGAGGGAGTCCAGTGAAACAGTCTGGTGAAATTTTAAGAGGAATGCAGGGATGAGAACAAGGACAAAGTTTGAATCAGTATTCTTTCTTTTCATTTGGTGACCAGCAAGCCCCCAAAAACATAGGATTAATTTGATTTCAGTGGTGGACTTTCTGACTCTGGGAGATCAGAATTAAAGCATGGATTACACTGTATTAGAGAAGTCTCCTATGGAGACTGTATGGAGTCACTGTATGGAGAAGTCTCACCTCCTTATATTTTATTTGCATGGGTCAACGTTGAAAAGAACATTTGTTAGGATTAGAGAAGTTTATCAGTCATTCATAGATTGTAGGAACTAATCTTTCCAGTTACATGCTTGCCCTTCCTCAGATAAAGCATCGCCTTGTTTTTGGGCAGTTGTTCCTCTCTGTGGTGGTCGTACACAAGGGTAGATCTGTGCCTGGCCTGATCTGAGGTGTAAGTGTGCCAGGAGCAGTAGGGAGCTTCCCCTGTGGGTAATTTTCACATTCATCAGTGTTCTGTGGTGAGGAGAAAGGCAGTTAAAAATTCACTCCAAGTTTCTCAGTCAGATAGAGGCGTGGGATTTGAAAGATGACCATTTTTGCTTCACCACAAGCAGAACCAGTTTTGAGAGTATTTCTGATCTGTGATAAAGACTCTGTCCTTCTGTCTACATTTCTTAGTTCTTCCTGTCCTCTTGCTACCTGTCCCTACTTTCTTATCTGCATCCTCTTTTCACAGTTCCAGTTTTGAATTTTCATTTTACCTTGATATGACTACTAAGCTGTGCTTGACACTGTCACATATGTGCCTGTGCATGCACTAATCCCTTTATCCTTCAGTTATATTTTTCACACTCCCTTTTTAAAGTGAATGTTTTATCTTTTCCATTTTGTTAATCTTTCTGCTTATTCGGAAAGACTTGAGAGTTGGCTTGTGAAACCTTGGTACAAAACTTTAAGTTTTAAATCAATAGAGTTTTAATTTAACTTTGGCTGATCTTGTACTAATTTAAAATGTTTACATTTACCAGATTGAATTGTATTACTTGTGGTAGAGTATTTTTGTTCTAGAAGAAAGGAATGATTTTTCATAAACTGTCACTTTTACAGATAGGTCTTAGACAGTGAGTATCAAGTAAGAATAATACAGGACCTGCAGAAAATTATGTGTTGCTGTATTTTGTGTCTGCTCTAGGGTGCTTTGGTCAGTGCATGTGCAGATGATGCACTTCATTTGTGGAACCTCCGACAGAAACGACCAGCTATTCTACATTCTCTGAAATTTAACAGGGAAAGGTAAGATATGACACAAAGTAGAGATCTCATTACAAAAATAACACTTCCTGGATTTCTCATAATTCATTTTGCCTTTCTACAGGTGAATATAGTTTTGCCTTGAATATTTTTCTTTCAGGTTTGTTTCTATGGAACAAAAACTTCACTTTCTCTTTCTGCAGCTTTCTCAGAACTAGAAAGTCTTGGTCTTCTTTTTGCCAAAGTGTTCTTCATTTTAATTCCATTTGCATGAATTGCTGTGAACACTAATTAGTTTTTTCTTCAGTCTGGGTACAAGCACTCACTTTTGGCTGAACCGCTGTTCAGTAATAGACAGAGTAGTTCAGCTGGCTGTATGAGGGTAATAATTTTTTCTTTACCTTGAAATAATTTTATTTTTGTAAAATACTGGAAGTCTAGTAGAAATAGGTTGTGAATTTGGAAAACTCTGGTAAGTGTAAAGTGAATCAGAGCATATTTCTTAATTTTACTTTATCAGTACCTAATTGTAGGAATCCCTACTGAAAATAGATTAAATGAGTGGTTGTAACTTTTAAAATCAAACAGGAGCTGAGCACTTCAATCTGTATTTAGTCACCCAAGTAAAACCTGATATGATGTTAAGGAACTTCAGTGCTGCACATCTATTAATAGTGAGAAAAAGTTCTAAGTTTCTCTTAAGGAATTAGGGCAGTAGTCAGGAGATCAAGATTCAGTGCATAAATGCAGCATTTGTTTTTAACTGGAAATTTAACTCATATTTTCATTATCTTAGCATGTGGATTCAATGTTTATTAAGGTGCAGCAACTTTTTTTGGTATTTATATATTTGCTTGTGCAGTGGGAGAAGATTCCCAGTACTTCACCAGAGCTGTGAAGTTAACAGACTCATCAAAACTTTAGCTGCAGCAAGTCTGAAAATTATTATGGAAATACATTTTTCTTTCTTGTTTATTATCCAGATACAAATCATATTTGCACTAAAATGTCACTGAGGTGCATGATTTGTAGTGGGAAGGAAATATACAGCCTGATTCCAATGAGTTTATAACCTATAGCAAAAGTGTATCAAGTGGTTTGGGACTGCGTGAGGGAAGATGAAAATTAAATATTAAGTGTGCATTTCTAGCTGCTTCTGGACAGTAAATTATCATTTTACATATGTTGAAATGTTTGAATCTTTTTATTCTCATCAGGTAGAGATGAGAACAATTTGTCATTGATAAATTTAAATGTTACAGAAGTTATTCCAGTACATCTTTGTCGAGCTCTCTCAGCCAGCAATCTGGCACACAACCTAACCAATCATTGCTTGTAAGAATGCAGCCTCTGTTCATCCCTGCCTTCTCTTTAGAGACATTAATCTGTTATCTTGGTCAATATTTTATCAGCATTTCTTGCTAAGAGAAACTCACGCATATTTGCCCTTTTCTAAGAGCAAAACATTTGTCATCACACTTGCTTAATTGTCTTTTTTGTCTGGCACCCTAAAACATTGAGCAAAATATTTGCGAGCAAGTTGTTTAGAATACTGGAAAATTTGCTTAAAACCAAATTTTCTCTAATGACATTTTTGAATGAGGTGCAAGTAGGATCTGAGAATGTAAGTTACTTGTATCAAATGCATAGCTAACTATACTGCCTTTTATCAAAATCTAGTAAGCTGTGAACAAAGAAACCACTGTTAGTTCTTTTATGTATATTTTGTGTAGCTGGTTCAATTGATGTCATTTAAATAATTTTTATTAGGACATCAGAGTCTGTGAGGCAAATATCCTGCAATATAATATTGTCAAAGAAGTAAGTCCAGTCTCAAAGAGTTTTCCATAAATATGAAGAAATAACATTGTAAGCACATCATTCCTTCTCAGGGTTCTCTAGCACTGCTCTAAGCTTCTGGTTGGTTTTTTTAAAAATTATTATTCAAGCACTTGGCTTTGAATGAAATTGCTTCATTTTTATTATATTTTCTTTTTTACATCTGTATAAATTTATTTTAAATCATCTAACTTTCAATTTTCCAAGCTCAATTACACATTTAGTATATAAAATTCAACACAAGCCTCTGGGCAAGTAGCAAAAAAGTAAGGCTAAAGCTCTAATTAACCCTCTCAGTTTGGACCATTTATATGCCTAATAGAGCTAAGTCTAAAAGAGAACTTTCATTTCTTTCTGAATATATTTTTGGTGTTAGAGAACAGAAGCTCTAAATTATGGAATGGTCAGAGAAATAGTGAATGAAATAGTGGTTGCATTAGCTATATGAAATCTATGACTAAATGGATGTAAGGGGAACTTGAGAAGCTGATAAAGTGATAAGATCAGAATTTATTTTCTTCAAGAAATTCAAAGGTGTGGCTTCCAAATGGTAATGTTTTCCTCACTCTAGGAACACTTAAAAATACTCTATTTTCATCCTCCCCTCTTCCCTTGCAGGGGGTAGGGGGTTAAGAGAAAGCAAAATTCATATTGAATAGAGATTTTTTTGTCTTAAGTTTGTGAACCAGTGAACAAGCTGGTTTTTAAATGTTTCTTAAATTGAGAGAAATGCTAGCTGACAGAAAATAGGTTTAAAATGTTGATGCATGTCTTCAAAAATAGTAAGGTATTGAAAGATGCCATAAAGAGAAAGTCAAATTCTAGTTCTTATAAGATTATTTATAATATAACTTAATTTTAGATTTAGGTAGCTTTCACAGGGCCAAATGCATAATTGTTCAGGTGCATTTCGTCTATGAAAATGGAACATGTGAATCCTTCAGATTTTTCCATTTGCATGTCTTTCTTCAGGATTTTTAAAAATTTTAGTTTTATTCATCCAGTATGTTTGTCTCCTTGTTACACTGTTTGGTTTAGTTGGGTTTTTTTTTTAACAAATGGCAGATTTACTTCATGAAGTGATGCAATATAATGCATTTAAATTCTAATACTTTATCTGCTTGTAATGACAAAGATGATTTTATAATTCCAAATGCTTGTTTTATTTGACTTTGATTAATTAATTTTCATGTAGTATCAGTTTATTATGGGTTTTTATGGTATATGGTGCATGAACCATAGAGCTGGTAGTTTCTGTTAGACAGATGAATGTTACTTAGTCTTTGGCTATTACTCACAATGCATCAGTCATCATGTAGTTGAACTGCTTAATTTGCAATTTGCTTCTCCTTCTTGACATTTAAGATTTCAGGATAATGGACTAAAATCTGCTCTTTAGCAGTGTTTCTGTATAGGTTTCTGCAATTACTTGAGTCAAGTTTCCCCAAGTGCATACATACATATATCCCCTTTCTCCCTCCCACAAAAGAAAAAATGTTTGTTCTTTTCTTTGGATATGGGTAAAAAACATAGTTGAAAAGAGCAAGGAACACTTAAAGGCAATAGTCTTTGATTTAATAGGTAAGATTCAGTATTAAGACACTGAATGGTTTATGAATAATAATTCACTAACAAAGTGCACCTTTATAGCCATTAAATCAGAGTTTGCAGCTTCTCCAGATTTAGTTTTTTCCTATTCTGACTTGCTGTTAAACCAATGATGACGCAGCACTAGCAATAATAATTCATAATTCACTGTTCTTTTACTAAGTGTCTCTTTGGAGCAAATGTAGAAGGAACACTAAAGAAACTTAATAGTAAACAGGTATTTTCTGTTTTACAGTGTAATGCTCTGGACTTTTTTGGACTTAAGCAAATTGTACATTTTTGCCAAAAAAGTATATATTTATTTTATATGAAGTAATTATCTTAGATTTCTATTGCTATAATTGGAATGTAATACAATGCATTAAGAACTTTCAAGAAAATACAAATGTAAGCAATGTGTCTCATTGCTTGGCTCCATACCAAGAGCTGTAATGATAAGACAGTTACTCAAAGACATGTTTGACAGTAGCATATGGTTGATAATACATGATTTGTGGTTTCTTTGACAAATAGGGTAGACAGGTAAAACATTTTAAACTCTGTAAACATTCTATAAGAATTACCTCAGTGTTTTTGAAGGTCAAAATTGTGGACACCTTCCATATGTTAGTACCTCTTTTTCCTTCCTTGATGTCATAGGAGATGCCAGATTGATCTTCAGTAGGCATTTTAGGCAAAGTAAATAAACTCAGCTGATTCCTCAGGTTTTAGCTTTTATATTGTTCAGATTCTATTCTGCTTTAGTGTGTAAGCCTAGGCTTCATCTTCGGTGATAGTAAGCTCTCTCCACAGAATATGTAGACAAAACAATTCCTTCTCTAGCTGGGGACCAAGGACAAGTGATCCAGATCTCAGGCCAAGAGCATAAACAATGGTGGACTGAAGAGAGAAAACAAGAAGGATGGGACTCAGAGAGAAAACAAGACGGATGGGACTTCATGGGCTAAAGCTGTAATTGGACAATTAGCTCCAATATGCTAATGGACCAAAACTTATGAAAGTGTTAGACCCTGGAATCTGTCATCCATTTTGTGGCCATTTTGGGTCATGCTGCCCAAGGTGGTCTATTTGAGGCCTCTTCATAAATACCTACTTTACTCTTTAGCTCTGTCTAGTCTCTGTTTTAGGTCAGCTTCACAAAGCATCAGTTTTTGGCATCAAGCTACTGAAACTAGACACTGTCTCTATGTGCTGCAAAGAACATTAGGATTAAGCAAAACCACTGGAAACTATTATAGGTCTTCATTATTTTTAATATAATCAGAGCAGACTTCAGCAAGTACAGCTTTAAATATACAACAGCTTACAGATTCCTATTTAATATAAGTGCAGCTGGGGTAGGAAAACCAGAAAGGATTGCGGTGTGAAATCCAGGTCCTGTAAGCCAGCAGGCGCTGGTTTCACTTATGACCACAGTTCATCTCCTGTCATTCCAAAGCTGAGCTGGTTCAGGTGTGTTAGCTGACAGGGGAACAGTCCTCCTCTCTTTCTTCTTTCAGCCATTGCTGACTGGTGTGTGACAAATGAGCCAACAGTGCTGCAGCAGCTTAGCCAGTGACCTACAGCAGCGCATATGAGCTCAGTGTGACACAGAA